AAAGATGTGTGGATGTGGCACTTGGGGACACGGGTAAGTGGTGGCAGTGGCAGTGCTGGGTTAATGGTGGGACTTGATGACCTTAGAGAGCCTTTCCAGCCTTAACAGGTTCTGTGATTCTAAGATAGGATATTTGGTAATCTGTTCATTTGTCTCCTCAGGAGCAGGGCAAACATTAGAACTCTTCTCATTATTAGAACAGTGACTTTGTCAGGAGTAAGTAACAGGATGGCTGCAGAAGAAGAAAATTTTGTTGTGGCCAGTTGGAAGGACAGAAGCAGGATAACAAATGCAATGTCATGAAAGCAGGGAGATAAAAGCAGTGGGGTGAGAAGGCTGTAAGGGATGTGAAGCCTGTGGAGATGTGTGTCCGTGCAGAAGAGAGCAGAGCTGGGAATGAAGGCTTTCCTAATTGCACTTTAATAAAGGCAGAGCATTGACGCCTTGGAAGCTGTTAAGGCACACAGTGAGGCAGAGCATACAAAGCCAGCTTGATCCTCTAAACTTAGGGGTGTAAGCTCATAAAATGAGTTGGTAGATGCTAAAAACGTGAGTGAACACATCGTGTACGTCCTAGTTTCAAAATGTTTCTCCTTACCTGCAGCTTGGCTGCTCTCCCTTTTCCAGAGGGTGAGTGCTTTGTCCCAATCTGTGGCAAAGCCAGTGAAGTTTTCTGCTGCTGAAGGCTCTACTTTTTACACAGTGTGAGGGTGGAAGCTGGTGAGCTCATATCTGTGTGTTTATAACATGTCAGTTGAGAGCCCTGGAGGATTTTCTAGTCTTTGAAGTCATGTGGGAAGTAGCAGATCTTGTCTGGAAAGTGCTCTCCACATCAGGAGACTTACCAGACGTATTTACAGAGGCACGTGGGGTGGATGTTGGAAAACCCAGTGGGAAGGCATGTGCCTTGTCCTAAAGCAATGATCCTGGAGCTGCTTTGAGGAATTGTGGTCCTGTGTCTGTAGAGAGCAGAGTTCACCTCTCCCAACAGAAAATGGGACTTTCCTGGATGTCTCTCCTTAAAAGATTTAAAAAGGAATTATGGGGCTGAATTCCTGCTTTTTAGGGTGTTGCTTCATCCATTTTCAGTTTTATTTCTGGCATGTAGTGACTCCTTCAGGGATCAAAACCACACACAGACCTGGACCAGGCCTGCTTGCTTCAATTTGAAAAAGGGGGTGTTCATTGACTATTTCAATTTGGACAGATTTCTGCAATTGTGCCACAAACCAAGACTTTGAGAAAACTTGTTCCTGTCATTGAAGGGTCTCCAGAGTAACTCAAGGAGGTCAAAGAAATTTTGAGTTCAAGGGAAGTGAGCTTTTCCTTTGGGGGAACAAGGGAAAGGGGGAACAAGAATGGCTTTGGCTTCTTTACACCGACCTCTCATTTGTGATGTCCTTTCCTATATCTTGAAGGGCTCCCCTCAAAAATTGTGAGGCTGTGTCTCTGTGCCATTTATTAAACACTCCTTTACACTGGATTGTGGATATCAACACAAACAGCAGCTGCCCTCCAGACCTGCCTGGAATTGTTCCAGTCCAGGCTGGACCAGGTTTGGAGCAGCCTGGTCTAGTGGAAGGTGTCCCTGCCCATGGCAGGGGGTGGAAACAACATGAGCTTTAAGGTCCCTTCCAACCCAAACTATTCCATGATTTAACACCTGGAAGCTGGTTTCTAGCTGTTGTGCTGCAGGTTTCTCAATGGAGGAGAGGTTGTGATATAGTTTTGAGTCTAAGTGTAGGATACAGTGCTGTTGTTTTTTACTTAGCTAACTGTGCTGCAAGTAATTTCCTTTCAAGCCTGTGTGTTTCATAAATAGCTGTTCCTGTGTCTCCAACTGTATTGTAGTGAAATCAATCCTGGAATTGGGCTGATTCACCATTAGGGAAATATCTTCATGCAGCTCTGTTCAAATGGAAGTAACTTTGAGGAGCAATCTTGCTGAGTGGGTGGAAAGGTAGGAAGGAATCATTATAAAAAAGTTTGAATCATGGCAGGAAGTCATCCTGGTGTTCTGAGCAGCCTTTAAATATTAATGTGACTGACAGTCTGGTCTTCATTCTTCTGCTGCTTCCCCTCCAAAGTCGACTTCTCTGCTGGCCCTCAAAGGCCATATTTGGTGCCATATTTACTACTTACACTTTCAGTAGGTGGTAATGATGGTGTGAGATCTTTGTGTGATCCCGTGTGCCGGCAGCTGGGCTCTGCTCCTCGTCTTGGCCGTGGTAAAGAGCTTCTCAGAGGTGTGGTTCCCTTACCTGCTGCTGCTCTGAATTCCTGTTTGCAGGAGGCTCTCAGCTGAGAGAGGATGGTTAGTGTTTGCAGACTGTCAGGTATTGACCATTTCCATCCTTCTCCCCAGGGAGACCTGATCCAGATGGGGAGCGGGGGAAGGACGGAGGCGTAGGAGCTCATAACCCTTAACATCTTCCTTTGTGAGCCAGAAGATGTGTGGTGGGATTTGTGCTTAATTTGCCTGAGGATAATGGAGTTGCTTGTCCCATCTGAGATGTGCTGAGCAAGGTATAAACTGGGCAGGGGTTGTGCTCTTGCTGGAGTTTTTTTTTGTGTTTCCATTTCTGAGGTTGTAGGTAGTTCTCTGTCATAAATTATTCAGTCTTGATTGAAATAATGACTTTGGTCTCCAGGGGGAAAAAATTCTTCTCTGGCTTTGACGGGTTCGAGTGTGTTTTCCAAAGCGTTACTGTGTTTTTACTCATGGAATTCCTGTGTCCTGCTCATCTTTCTTAGTGATCCAGCCCTAGGAACACTGCAGCACCATGGAATCATTTAGGTGGGAAAAGCTCTGTGAGATCTGAGTCCAGCCATTCTCCCAGCACTGCCAAGCCCATCACTAAGCCATGTCCCCAAGTGCCAGACCCATATCTTGTATTACATGGAAGATGATGGCTTTAACTGGAAATAAAACTGGAATGTTCTCTGTCTACTTCTCTTGCTATAGCAGACATAGACCAAATAGACAGATAAACCAAAACTTCCCATGCTTCAGTTTTATTTTTCCAAAATTGTATCAGGAAGACCTGTGTGAGTAAATCCACCTGCCACTGGAAGTCATTCTCATGTTTGGTTTGAATTCAGCAGTAAAAAACTCCATAGTTTCACTGATGGTTCTTTTTCATGTTGTTTGTTTTGAAGCCAGTCTCTCCTCCCAGGACAGGCTGGGGTGGAGTCCAGGTAGAGTGATTTTCTGGTATCTGATAGAGCCTCATCCCTGCTCCTGCTGACTGGTTTCACAGGGCAAGCAGAGCTCTGCTGTGTCTGTGCCAAGCGTGGCAGCTGAGAGCATGTGGGGATGTCTGTGATGAAAAACCAGTTCAGCCAGTTCACCGGTAACGGATGCTTCCTGCTTATCCATATTCAGTTCTGACTATTAAATCTGGAATTAATTTGAGGGACAAGTAAAGCTTGGTAATGCTAAATAATTTCTTGTACATGAAAATCTCCAGCTCTTTTGTCTAGGCCAGAGGTACAAATGGTGTTTCACATGTTGTTTGGGAGCTTGCCACTCTGGTTTATGGCCAGACTGGTGGCGTGGCTGACACATGGAGGTTCTCAGGTGACCTGGTGATTGTCAGACCTCCTGGATATGCTGCAGACACGCTGTGTGACATTTCTGCAGGAAACCACAGCTGTCCCAAGTGACAAGGAGAATTCCAGTACCTAAAGGGGATGGACATACAGGAAGGCTGAGGAGGGACTTGTTACACGAGCAAAAAGTGATAGGACAAGGGGGCTTCAAGCTGAAAGGATGTGTTTAGATTGGATATTAGGGAGAAATTCTTCCCTGTGAGGGTGGGCAGGCCCTGGCACAGGTGCCCAGAGCAGCTGTGGCTGCCCCATCCCTGGAACAGTCCAAAGCCAGGTTGGATGGGGCTTGGAGCACCCTGGACTAGTGGGAGGTGTCCCTGCCCATGACAGAGGGTGAAATTAAATGGGATGGACTTTAAGGTCCCTTCCAACCCAAACCATTCTGATGCAGCACCTGTACAGACAAGACATCCTGCAACCTTTCCCTTTATCATGCTGATTTCTTGGGAAGTGAGGGGAACCTCAACCACCACGCTGGTACCTCTGGACTGTCCTTGTGGGACAGGACCTCCTGGATCCTTGCAGCTCCTGCCAGTCTCCTTTGGTCTTCTCTTGAGCACAGAAGAACCATTTGGCCTGCAAGGGTTGAGAAGCATCTATGTTTTGTCCCCTTTAGACTGAGTTATCAGCTTTTAAAAAATATTTAATTGTGCTTTGTCTCTTCATTTTGGTCATCTCTGTAGGACAGCAGTTTGAATTAGCAAATATATCTGAGGTCAGTTTGGATTTCAGTGATCCTCGTGGGTCCCTTCCAACTCAAGATAATCTAGATCAACTTGAAAAGAGGTAAAAGAAAGGAGAATTTTGTTTAAGTGCTACAAAATTTTCTTCTCCTCTTGGCACCTTTCATTGGCCCCTTTGTTTTTTTTATCTGGCTTTTCTATAGTAATTGATAAATATATGAAGTGAGGAAAAACCAAACCTACACTTCACAGGGGCTTAAAAGGTGGGGTGTGGTTTCCTCACAGTGTCCACCTGACGTGCTGGTGTAGTTGGAATGGCTTTGGTTACTGCATGTGGTGTCAGTCCTGATAACTCCAGTGGAATCGTGGAATTACAGGCTGGTTTGGGTTGGAAGGAACCTTAAAGCTCAGCTGGATCCACCCAGCCATGGGCAGGGACACTTTCCACTAGTCAGGTTGCTCCAAGCCCCATCCAACCTGGCCTGAGACACTTCCAAGAATGGGCCAAGTAGCAACAGTGGATGGACAGCACTGACATTTCTTCATGACATCAGGGCTTTTTATCAGAAGTTTGTTAAGAAAATGATAAAGTTTTCATGCAGCTGTTAAATTCCTCGAGGCCAGGAAAGTTCTGGATGTTGTACCTTTCTCACCTGGTATTTTAAAATAATGATTTTTATTTCATGCATTTCTTCTTTTCCCCAGGTAAGAAACCAAAAGCAACCTGCCTTTATTGAATTCTCAAGAACGCAGCTGACCCTTTGGTACATTATCAAGATGCATTAGGAAACTGGATCCGGTGCCAAAAGAACTCCATGAATTTCCATGAATCTCTTGAACTCCAACACGGATACTTTTGGATGTAAATTTGGATATAAATTTCTGTTCTAAGGAGAAGAGTGTGTACTCCAAGTCCTTTCTGCCAGCTTGCTGGCAGAGGTGTTTCACTAGGATCATGGACCATCCTAACAGGGATAAGGATGAGAGGCAGCGGACGACGAAAGGAATGCCGGGGAGGAGCGGCCACGGTTCTCGGCCGAGCTCGTCGGCGTCCTCCGGCGTCCTCATGGTGGGACCCAACTTCAGAGTGGGCAAGAAGATTGGGTGTGGGAACTTTGGAGAGCTCAGACTAGGTAAGAAGCGAGCATTTTAGTGGCCTGCATTATGCAAATTAGCATTTCACCACTGGAATGTGAATGCATAAAAACTTACCCTGGCTCGAGAAACGCGTGCGCTGTCTTGTTTCCCAAGTGTTGAGCTGCCTTATCCGAAGCTTCTGACTCAGAAGATGTAACTCTTAGCGTGATTTTGATTTGCATAAAGTCAAAGGGAATACACTGGAGAGGCCAAAGATGCAAATTTTGAACAATCCCAACAAATGATGGCTGTTCACAGTGCTGAATGTCTTGCCTAAGGTGAAAAAAGAATCTGAACTGTGAATTGCTAAATCTTGCTCTCAATTTTTTGTTTGTAAGCTAGAACACCCATTTAAAGGGATGGATAACACTCTTTCCCAGCACTCAGACTCAATTCCTTGTCCTTCTCTAACCTCACTGCCCTAATTTCAGCCCCATCACTCTCTCCCTGCTCTGTCTGTGTGTTGGACTTGCTGGCGAGGAGCAGGATGTGCCGAGTGGCCATCTGGCTCCCTCAGCCAGCCCAGCATTTGTTCATGGTCTGTTGGTTTCCTGACCACGTCTTGCAGCTGGTTGCCCAAAACAGATGGTTCCACTGATGCATTGTTTGTTTAGGGCTGCTTGAGAGACCAAAGCAGAGCAGTGCACTGGGCTCTTAAGTCATGCTAAAAAAACAATGGTTGTGTTTTAAATGAGATGGGGAAAGCAGCTGGTGTTGCCTCACATAACTCAAGGGTCATAACACTACTGATAGTGTCTTTGTAGATTCCTGCTCAGAATCTGTCCTCTTAAATGAATCTGTGTGATTTCCCACTCCGAGGTTGGGTTGTTGCATCAGTACAGGTGCTGCTGTTCCATGGTGTGAAGATCAACCAGCTCACTTCTGGTGTGTCTCAGTAAATGGGTATTTTGGTTTCAGCATTGCATCAGAGTTTTATTGATTCACCCGAGCAGAGATAACACTCCTAAGGTGGAGAGAAACCAAGGGCAAGGGTGGAAACTCCCACCTGCCTGCACATGAGTATAATTGGCAGGTAAAGATAAATTTGGATCCTTACAGTGACATAACACGAATTGCTCTGTTGGATTCCCAGAGCTCCCCTCAGCAAACGTCACGGTCTCAGGATCCCCAGGGAGATGTTGAATTGCTTTGTAATCCAAGCTCTGCTCTGAGGTTTAGCAGCTCTAGTGGATCCCTCAGGATATATGGCTCTTGAGTTTATTCACCTGGTGCCCAAATCACGGAATCACAGACTGGTTTGGGTTGAAAGGCACCTTAAAACTCATCCCATTCCACCCCTGTCATGGGCAGGGACAATTCCCACTAGCCCAGGTTGCTCCAAGCCCTGTCCAGCCTGGCCTTGGGCACTTCCAGGGATCCAGGGGCAGCCACAGCTGCTCTGGGCACCTGTGCCAGGGCCTGCCCATCCTCACAGGGATCAGTTTCTTCCTAATATCCCATCTAACCCTGTCCCTGGCAGCAGGATGACATTGCCCCTGTCTGTCCTGTCCCTCCAGGCCCTTTTCCAAGGTCCCTCTCTGTGGTTAGATAAAAGGTAGGAGAATAGAGATAGTGGTGAAAGTAATCTCACCCCTAAAGAGTTACAGCTGTGCTAATTATCAAGAATGAAGAACAAGCCTGCCCTTAATAGGCCACAGCTGGATCCAATTAAGAGGAGTACTATAAAAGAGCAGGTTGGCTGCTCAAGAGGCTAGAGATGGAGTTTGTTGCCTGTGCTGAGAAGAAGGAGTCAGTGCTGTGAGGAGTTGCCCATGAGAAACCACTGAGAAGGTATGGAACCTTTGCAGCAAGATAACAACACCTCTCCAGCTCTCCTGGAGCCCCTTCAGGCACTGGAAAGAGGCCCCAAAATCTCCCTGGAGCCTTCTCTTCTCCAGGTGAGCCCCCCCAGCTCTCCAGCCTGGCTCCAGAGCAGAGGGGCTCCACCCTCAGAGCATCTCCATGGCCTCCTCTGGACTGGCTCCAGCAGCTCCATGTCCTGCTGCTGTTGGACCCTGGGCTGAGGCAGCTCTGCAGGTGGGGTCTCACCTGAGTGAGGCCGAGGGGCAGAATCCCCCCCTCCCCTGCTGCCCACACTGCAGGGAGGCAGCTCCTGTTTCCAGGATTCATTTTCACATTTCTCAAAATTTTAGTGGTATTGGGTTTGTGACTCATGTAAAGTTCCATGGCATGGACTTTACAGAAAAGATTTCACTTCTGAAAAAGTCAATTTACAGTCAGTTAAATTGCAACACCGGCTAATTGAGTGGGTTTTGTTTTTTTTTTTAATAATACATGTGTTGTTAATGCTAGTTTACTAAAAATTCAGACAATGAGCCACACGTACTGATGACAACAATTTGTTGTAAGGTTCTTAGAGAAGCTGTATTTTTTTTTTTTCATTTCTCTCACTTTTTGCCAGTCACTGCCACTTTAAGCGTTGCTGTTTGCTCAAATAGCAGCTATTTCTCTTGCACAGCCCATGGTAATTATCGCTGGGGGGAAGGAGAAGCAGCAGCTGAAATCCGAGCACACAAGTCTCTGATAACAGTTTTGTCCTGTGAAGATGAATGATGTGCCCTCTGCTTTTTCTCTATTTTTTACATGGTTTCAGAGCAGTTAGGCACCAATATCACAGGCAGAACAAAGTCATACCCTGATAAGCAAAGGGAAAATAGGCTTTTCCAATTCCCTGAAGAATTTCTCTTTTTTGAGGTGTTGTGTTTCAGTTTAAGCTGCTGCTGTTTGATTCTTCAGGGAGGAGATGGCACTTACCTAATGAAGCTGTTTGCTGTATATATCCAGCTCACTGCTCAGGGTTGATCTTTCTTCCTGAAAATACAGATCACCCAAGGACATCACTTCTTTGGAGCATGTGGGAGCAGCACAATTGGATTCCAGCCCTCAAGGAGCTGAGATGGGGAGCTCAACATGAAACTTAGCATTTGATAGGACAGGGGAAATGGCCACAAGTTGTATCAGGGGAGGGTAAGGCTGGATATTAGGAAAAAAATTCCTCACCAAAAGGGTGGATGAACATTGAAACAGGCTCCTCTGGGAAGAGTTGAAGTCACCATCCCTGGAAGGGTTCAGAAAAGGAGGAGATGTGGTTTAGTGGGAATGGTGGAAGTTGTTGGAATGTTGGCCTTGGACGTCTTTTACAAAATTAATGATTGTGTGATCTGGCCCAGAGTAATGCAGTGACATGGGGTAAAGCAGGGGCTGTTTCTGCAGACAGGCTGCAGAGCAGAGGGTCCACAAGAGCTTTGGTTTCCAATGTGGCTCAGCTCTATATTCTCAGCAGGAATATAGAGCCAGTCCCCATGTCCCCTGCATGGATTTGGGGTTCATGGGGATTTGACCCATGGAGTGATGTGGTCAGCCATGACATCCAAGATCTGGATAAATCCCCAAAACCTCTCTGCTGGCTTGCTCCAGACAGAGCTGTCCCCCTTGGTTTTGCTGTCGCTCTGTCCAAGCTGCAGTGGTTTGCTCTCCCTCCTCCTCCCAGGCAGGAGCAAAGGCTCACAGGAGGCAGTGACCTCTCCACTGAAACAAGCCCTGAGCAGGAGCTGCACCTTCCCTTAACCACAGATGAGAGGCTGTAACTGTGCTGGCAAAAGCCTTTCAAGTTGAGGCAATGCTTTTTATGGAGCAGTAAGTCCATGGCTCAGTTTTGGGTAGTTCCACTGACAATTATGTGATATTCCAAAGGAGAAGGGATGCATTACATCACCAGCATTCATGGGAAACTTCCCCAAGAGGATTTCTCAAGGCCTTGGCAGTGAGATGTGATGAATGTACAGATGGATTTGAGACAGCAGAGAAGCCCAAAAAGATTCATCTCCAAAGTGATGCATCTGCACAGGGTGCTTGGGACATGCCTGATTTGCTGTCCCTTCTACAGCAGGTCTGAAACTAACAGCTCCTGGTGTAGGTGCTTCCCAGGACCTGCTCCTGCCCTGCCCTCCACATCTAACATCATTCCAGTCAAATCATGTCTTGTTATTTTGGAATTACAGCCCCAGTATCAGATGCTATTGTCATGTTTAAGTATTTATTTTGCTGGTTTACTTGTTTTGAAGCAGAGTTCCTGGCTTCAAGCTGCAGCCTGGGAGGCAGCTGAGTGATTCTCACTTTTGGGAGCACCTTCCCAGTTACAGTGGAGCTGCTCTGACCTGGCAATCTACAAATGAGCAGCTTTTCTGCTGGTTTGGGGCCTGCTGCTCTTCTAACATTTTTCCCAGTTTCAAGCAGGGTGAAAAACTGTGTTAACTGCCATTTTTAAATGATACACTGTTTTGAAAATGGCAGATAATGTTTCAATTAGAGCAAAAATATCTAGGCTCCAGTCTGCAGCTCTGGGACCCCCAAGAGCAGAAGGATGTGGAGCTGCTGGAGCCAGTCCAGAGGAGGCCATGGAAATGTTCTGAGCGTGGAACCCCTGGGGGTGCTCACCTGGAGGGAGGAGAAGGCTCCAGGGAGATTTTGGAGCCCCTTCCAGTGCTTAAAGGGGCTCCAGGAGAGCTGGAGAGGGACTTGGGACAAGGGCCTGGAGTGCCACAGCAAGGGGCAATGTCTTCCCACTGCCAGAATGGGATATTGGGAAGAAATACTTTCCTGTGAGGGTGGGCAGGCCCTGGCACAGATTGCCCAGAGCAGCTGTGGCTCCCTGGATCCCTGGAAGTGCCCAAGGCCAGGCTGGACAGGGCTTGGAGCACTCTGGGCTAGTGGGAGGTGTGGAATGAGAAGGGCTTTAGGGTCCTTCCAACCCAAACCAATCTGGGATTTCCATCCAAAGAGGGGAAGAGGCAGTTTCAGGGAGCAAGATAAAGCTGGAGCTGCCAGTGGGGTTTATTTGCTGGTAGCTAATGCAGAGCAGATAATCCAGGTGCATTTAGATTTCCTTCCCTTAATGTCCTCACATCTTCTCCCCCCCCAGCTGCTGGCTGGAGCCCTGGTCTGTCTCAGAGGGTGGAGGGGTTTATCTGCCACCTGCTTTTCCATGGATTTGGCCTGTGAGCTCTTTCAATGCTTCCTGCAAAATCTCCTTTCTACCCTTAGTCCCAGTCTGGGCATAGTATTATGTCTTTTTCTAAAAGATGGAAAGAAATACATGGAAACCCCCACTGCATGTCAGGGGTTAATGCTGGAGCTCAACTTTCAGCTCTGCTGGCAGAAAACACCTCCTCTGAGGATATTTAACCTCACATTTAAATCCCTGTCCTGTGCAGCACCTAAACAGGTTGGAGCTATGATGTCTTCTGTTACTGAGGGATGTTGAAAAAATCTGCTTGGTGCAGTCTGGGCCTGGAAACACCCAGTCACAGATTTACAGCCAGAAGTACCCTGAGTGATACAACAGGGAAAGCATCAAAAGAAGTTAAATGCAGAAAACATGAAGCTGTTATAAAGTAAACTGAATTTCCTCTGATATTTCAGGATTTAAAGATGACTGTGTATCTTCTCCCATGTTCATAATGTCTTTATTTTTATTGAGTCTCCCTGTGCTGTTGTATCCTGTGCTGAGGAGGACATGAAAGGTTTTTTTAAAGCTTTCATGTGGATATGGAAGAGCTGCTCCAGCTCCTGCGTGCTCTGAATGATGTCACTCCATGTCCTGGGCTTTCTCAAGAGCTGGACTGTCCTAGCATCAATATCCATTACAGGAATTAGAAAATAAATGAGTAAGAGAGCTGAGCAAAGCTGATGCTACAAATAAGCCCTGATACCTTCCATCCTGGTTTGCTCCTGAATTTCAGAGTTGCTCAGTAAAAGCATGACTTGTGCAGTGACACTGATGACAAAGGTTTCACTAAATAAATCCACAGGGAGCTTTTGTGGTGGGGGCTTCCTTCCTCCAAGGGGACAGTGGGACTGGGACAGAGGGAGTCCAGGGGCTGCCCAAGCATCCTTCCCCGTGGTGTCTCTTCCAGGAGAGGTTGCTGTCAGGCATGAGCCAGGTGGAGGGGAGTGGTTGCTCAAATTCCCTTTCCTGGCAGGGGAAGCAGAGGACGTTGAGTGATACGATAAGTGGCAGTGTCAGAACACAGGGAGAGATGCTCATGACACAGAGCTGTGCATCACTGCCTGACATCACTGAGGAGGCCCAGGGCTTGCTGCAAACACCAGACAGGCTCCTGGAGGAAAATTCCCCTCTAGCTGTAGCACACATGGGTCCCAGCTCTGGTTCAGTGCACCTGGATGTGAGCTCAGCTTGTTGTGCTCATCTCACGCTCCTGCCCTTCCTGCTTCCCAAAGCATCATCAGCCTTGTGAAATCCTCTCCACATCCCAGAATGAAATTGTTGAGTGTCCAGCAGATCCAAGACGTTTCCAAAAACAATGCCATTCCGACTCTTCATTTTTTGTTCCCCAGCCTTTTTTGGCATCGTGGATAACGAAGCCTGGTGTGTCTGGGGAACCTCCTTTAACATGTGCATGGAGCAAAAGTGCTGCCATGAAATACAATTGCCTTGTGCTGAGTGGAAGGTGTTTTTTGCCTGCCCTGCTAAACTGCTGCAAACTGTTCATTATTTTGATTATTTTCAGGCTTATGCTTTGTTAAAGAAAGGAACTTCAGGGGGAATTGGGAAAACAGCCCTTTGCATCAGTGTCATTATTTCTCATTGTGCCTCAAGCTGCAAGTGTTGAATGTGGAACTAAAAGATTTTTTTCTTCTCCCTTTGCAGGTAAAAATCTCTACACCAATGAATATGTAGCGATCAAACTGGTAAGTAATAGCTTCAGGTGTCTTTAAATGACTTACACTTCATCTTAAAAATTCAGACTAAAAGCAAGTTTTTCAGTTTGGGCTCAGTGCTGCTCCCACCCTCAGCTGGGAATGACTTGTTAAAACTAAGCAAAGTTCTTAAAAGCACTAAAAGCAAGGAAAAAAACATCCTTCCACCTTTGGAAGGTTTTTGGTAGCTAAAGGATCTGTAGCTGTCTTACAGCAGTGAGAGCCTTGTTCCTCTGCCCAGGTCCCAGTGAAGGGCACTGGTTTGCACCTCCTGCTGCTCCATGGCTCAAACCTTTCCAGTCAGGACTCCATGAATTCTCCAGCTGCCAGAATTTTGGTTAGGAGCATGGCACTGTGCAGCCTGGTGGTCCATGTTTTTGGAGCCAAGAGGCACGAAAGAGGGTGTTCCTTTGGTTAAAATTCCCTGGGGGAGCAGAGTACAGTTGGGTCTGGTGTGATACTGAGAGCCTGCAGATGCAACAGGCAAAACAAGATCCAGTTTGGTGAAGGTCAGTGCTTCCTCTGGCTGCCTTGGGTTGCAGAGAAGATACAGTCTCATCATCTGTGGAATCTGGGAGATGGGGAACTCCCTAACTTGTAGCTCTTCTGCATTTATAAACTCACAGCCCAGTAGTTTGTGTTCAGGCCTTAACTTTTCCTATCTGCAAACTCAGACTTTCATCAGTCCCTTGGGGTTTCAGATTCCATGTCTTCACCTGATGTGCTGAGTTCTCATGTGAACACTCTGTAAACATCACCCAAGCCCTAAAATCTGAAGTTGTGGTGTTTTATTGACACTGCAGCAAAGCCCCCAGTTTGCCCAGTTGATGCTGTCTGGCAAAATGACAGGAACCTCTCTGCTGACAGAAAATCAGGATGGATTTGGTGTATTAATTGTGATCACATTTAAGTCCCTCACATTCCATCTCTCTGGCATGCCCTTTATGATGTCTAGTAGATGACAAATAATTACAGCTTTGCAGGAGGGACTTGTTTTCACACCTGTTGGCAAATGTCAGAAGATGTTCCCTAAAGTAAATAAATAAATTCCTGCGGAGGAATTCAGGAGCATAGTATCCCAGACTGGCTTGGGTATCCTGGAAGGGATCTTAAAGTTCATCTCATTCCACCCCTTGCCATCCATGGTGGAACCCCAAGGACACCTCCCACCATCCCAGGGTGCTCCAAGCCCCATCCAACCTGGCCTTGGATTCTTCCAGGGATGGGGCAGCCACAGCTGCTCTGGGCAACCTGTGCCAGGGCCTCACCACCCTCACAGGGAAGGATTTCTTCCCAATATCCCATCTAACCCTGCCCTCTGGCAGTGGGAAACCATTCCCCTTGTGTCTCTCCATCCCTTGTCCCCAGTCCCTCTCCAGCTCTCCTGGAGCCCCTTCAGGCCCTGGCAGGGGCCCCAAAATCTCCCTGGAGCCTTCTCTTCTCCAGGAGAGCACTCCCAGCTCCATAGGAGATGCCCTTGATATGGATGCACATCAGAAAGAAGAACTGTTGCTTTTAGGCCATAGAAAATGTGCTGTGTACACTGACAAGGTGTTTTATTGAGGCAATAATGCTTCTAGGTTGCTTCCACAGATAATCTCACAAAGTTGTTGCATTGGAAACCATAAGTTAAAACACAGCTGTGCTAGTCCAAAGGGTGCTTTTTTCTCTCAGAAAAGTGGCTGCAGTGACACCTCTCAGTAACCTGAAGCTTTTCCATATGGCAGGACTCAATGGCATTGCCTCATGGCTGCCTCAGTCTGACCTGTTTTTCTGGTCACATTCTTTCTTCATTTTTCTTACTATTTTTTTTCCCCCCAAATAACTGAGTGTTAAAGCAGTTACTCTGCACCACTCTCCAGTTTCATTTGCCCTGTTGTGATCCAGGCTTAAAAATCTCAGGCCCTTCTTGTGTGAGGGGCTGGAATTGCCATCTGATGGCCATCCAGGTGTCCACATACATGCTCTGTTTTGGAGAAGTTTAAGGAGGGAGTAGTAGCAGAAACGGGGCTTTCTTAATCTCCTAAGCTTAGACAAAATTCCACAGGAACAAGAATGACTCAGCCTCCTCAGCAGCAAATACATTTCTCTTACATGTGGACTTAACTGCTATTTTCTTTATCCTTCAAATAATTTGTGGATTAGTGGTGGAGTAGCTGTAAGATGTACTTACAGGCAACATTTTCTTTTATCTTCATTGTTGGAGTGACTCAAAGCACTGCTCCAAGTCCTTCAAGCTGTGAGATCCTCTTCCACCACTGCAGCCCTGCTGTCTCAGCTATTCCTGCCTCCTATCGTGACATTAGAGCTGGGAAATGAGGGAATTGTGTGATGGATACCAAGAGCCCATCAGAAAGTGCTGTGAAATTCCATGCCAGTGCCTCATGGTTTCTTTTTGGGGCTGAGCCTACACCTTGGAAAACTGCTGGCAGTGGAGATTGGTCCTTGTGTTGGTGGCTGTGGTGTCATCATGTAGCTTCTGGTCCTGCTCTTCAGCTGACTTACTTGGTCAGGGGCATCTGGTTTATTCTTCTGAGGGTTTTCAAGGCTGCGCTGCCCACATGAGGAATTTCTTTCTTCCCTGGGAGCAGCCAGCCTGGTGCCATCCAGCTGGAGCACAAGTGCCAGGCCATCCCCTCGCAGCAATGATGATGCTGTTGGTTCGAGCTGTGGATTTTCTCTGTTAGGCAGTAGCAATTCAGTTATTTTTACTACAAATACAAAATCTGCCATCATCCCTAAGCCCTTGGCCTACAGGACAACCATCTGTGCTGGTATGATCTTCTCAGAAGCTGCCATGACTCTGGCAGGTGTCCAGAGCTCTGGCTCCAGCAGCTCCTGATGCAGCAGCGGCTCAGGGCTGCCTCCCCTGATTTTGTCATGAGCAGCATCATGTCCTGCTGCATCAATCCTTCCCCTTTACATGTTTGGATAAATAAACTACTCCCTGAACATGCTGAGTTCCTGTTGCCCTGAATCCCTGTTCTCTGTAGACCTTCCTTCAAGCCACCAACAATTATCTTAATTTAAATGTGATTTATGTAACAAACTTATTTGTGTGTTGCTTTGTGTTTGCCTTTGGTGCAGGTTCAGTTTTTCCTCCAGAATATCTTTTCACATTGTTTGCTGAGTATTTGGTCATTTTTATCTTCTGGAGCTTTAAAACATCAGGAAATTGGTGACCTTGGAGGCCTTTTCCTATCTCACTGATTCTATGATTAAGCTGAGAAGCAACCAGGAACATTCATTCCCCTTGCTGGGAAATGGATGGGGTGACTTGAGCTGATGAGGAACAGCTTGGCTACAAGTCAAATTGCCTGAATTCCTGTACACAATTCCTTCTGCACACTTAGAAAGAAGCCTTGACTGTGGAGTTCACACCCAGTGTGGACATCAGTCTTACAGGGCAGACTAGAGGTCAGCAAAAATTGAGGCCAGTATTAACTCCTATCTCCAGGCTGCCTGGGCAGTTGGGAAACCCACATCCATGCCTATCCCCAGTGCACAGTTTTATTGCAAATGTAATTACTCCAGTCTCTTAATCCTCTCCATATTAACTTTGTATTTTTAGAACCTCTGTAATCTTGCACGTTAATGCCTTGATGGATTGTAGGCATTAAGTCTTGTATGTAAAACGCAAATGAGTAACAGTTAATGAATGGGATGGTTTGGGTGCATTGCAGACTTGCCATTTTATTTTTTTTGTATTTTGTGGATAAAAATAGAATATTATTGAGTGTTTCAAGGTGTTTGACTGACAGCTGCCACAAGAAGGGGGAGACTTCTTCCTTTTTCCCAGCTGTCTGGCTGCACTGTGGTGCTTGCTGTGACTGTGGTCTGATCTAAAACACACTTGTGTGACTCAACATTTTTCAGAAATACAGGCTGGAGAGCAGCAAAAGCGCTGTGGGCAATCACAGTGCCCACAGAGTGAACTGGGGCTTGAGTTTTTGCAACCTTGACTTCCCTCTGCCAATGTCCAGGGCTGTTCTTCAAGGACCAGGAGCTCTATGGAATGATCCTTGAATTTCACTGCAATCAATGAGCTTTGTATTTAAATGAGGACGTTATTTCTCCTCCAGAGAGCAAATCTTACTGCTTTTTGTGCTTTTCTTATTTAAATGACATTTAATGGTGAAGTCTGTTGTTAGAATTTCAATTTGGGGTGTTTTAATTATGCACAAATCTTCAAGTAGAGGAGAGAACTTCTTTCAGTCAAACTGATTTTAACCAATTTATTTATTTCTGTTCTAGGAACCAATTAAATCCCGGGCACCACAGCTTCATTTAGAATACAGATTTTATAAACAACTTGGAAGTGCAGGTGAGTAAACCTACCTTAAACTTACCAAAACTTTTATTAAATTTCTGTAATAAAGGGATTTATTTATTAAATCAAACACCACCATAGTATTTGTTGTGTAACTCTGACTTGAACTTAGGGATCTGGGCCAATTCCTTTTAGCCTCACATAAGTTTTAGAAGTGATTTGGTGAAAATTGGGTCATAATTGTGATATTAGGTAATTGTGTGGACCTAAAATGTCAAGCTCATGAGGATTGGCTGATATGGAAATGCCCCTGTAAGTGTGTTTGCAAAACTTAGGAGTTGTCAATGGATGGAAACTTATTTTTGTATAGAACACCACCCCTTAAGTAGGTGATCTAAAGTCTAAACCTAGGAAATTGTTTTCATTTCTACTTGTTAAATCATAAAAGTGTCGACAAGCCCCATGGCTCCTCTGTGCAATTATGGTCTACAGCAAACAGGAGAAAGAGCAGGATCAGCCAAAGGTGGAATTTTGTATACATTTTTTTCTGTCAGTCTCTGATTTCCCTGATACAGAACTTGAGTTGTGTCTAATAGTGTTTGGATTTTTCTTCCCTGAATTTATGGTTGCTTTTTAAGCCTTAAGAGCCTTTTAGCATGTGCTGTTTCCCATGCCAAGGATTTCCACAGCCTCGTGCAGGGTGTTCCACTGCTCAGGGAAGTCTCTGAGAAGCAACAATCTTCTCTTCTCCTTCTGTGCATTGATCCTGTATTGACTTCAGGTTTTGACAAGTTTCTTACATTACTGTAGTTTTTTTTATACTTCTGATTTTATTTTTCCTATTTTCCATGAAGGGACCCAGTTTCCACTTGCAGAGGATGTCTGATGGACATCCAGAGATACTTTGGTAATAATATATTACCAAAATACTAAATTGAACTTTCTGCTGGAGTGCTGTTGGTGCTTGTGATTTCTGGGATACCCCAGCCCACATGTCTTGTGACACATGAGTGAATCCCAGTCTGCTTTTTCTCCACCACTTGGCTTCCTTCCGCTCTTTAAAGATGTTATTATGGAAATTATAAAACTGATCAAATTTTGAAGAAGTGGCTTTATTTTGGTCAGATTAAGTATTTTTTAGGTTTTCCCCTGTTCCTAAAGAATTTAAACTTTCCATCCTGTAATATTTACCCGTTCAGAGCCTTCATGGAATGGTTTGGGTTGGAAGAGACCTTAAAGCCCATCTCATTTCACCCCCTGCCATGGGCAGGGACACCTCCCATGATCCCAGGTTGCTCCAAGCCCCATCCAGCCACAGCTGCTCTGGGCAGCCTGTGCCAGGGCCTCACCACCCTCACAGGAGGAATTCCTTCTTAGTCTTGGATCTACAGTCTTGGAGCATTTGTCAAGGGACTGTTGAGAAGGCTCCTGGACAAACCTGACTGTTTTCTCTCTCTGTGGTCCCATGGGTGTTGCACACCCAGCTCTGATGAGCTGTTGGGTTCCTTTAGAAGCTCTTGTGCTGCAGTTTTGCTAAAACACTTGGACATTAGCCAAGACTGTAGTGGAGGATGTGAACTGCAATTCTGGTCTCACCATGAAACCTGGAATCCAAACAAAACAAATTTTGGTGGAGTCAAGCTGCCAGGAGCAGGGAGGCTTGACTTGGGAAGAGTGCCTGGCTGGAAAAACAGATAAATAAGTGCCAACATTGGGGTAACAGAGGAGCTTGTTCTCAGTGATTTTGCTAGTAATTGTCCTTGCTCTGGAACTGCTCAAACAGCCAGGCTTGAACTTCCAGTAGGGATGTCTGCTTCCTTGGAATTGTCCTACACCTGCCAAACCAAGACTAGAAGTATCCGAACACATGGTGTGCATGACTCAGAGAGAGCAACAGTAGCGTTGCATGTGACATTCTGCTCAATAAATTAGCCAATTAATCCTGCCAAATGACGTGTCTGGCTGCAGCTCCCACTGTCAGCTGAAGGAGGGAGAGCAGAGGGAGCCTGGCTGTGACACCACGGGAGCCACCTCGTCCCCTCGGCGGCTCAGCGGCTCAACTGCGTGTGCTGCCAGATGGTCCCAGTGAGCTCTGAGACGTCAGAATTGTCATCACATGCAGCTTTGGGAGAAAAATGGAGGATTTTTTTTCTTATAAAAAGAGTTTTAATGGTGATTTCCTTCTTGGATGTTCAGAATAAACATTTTAAAATGTGTTACTCTTGAGTAGTAGTCAGAGGAAAACTTAGGCTAGAAGGGACTGACCTACTTGGCCTGTGCCTGAAGGATGTATGTAGGTATCAATAACCTGCTTCACTTGACATCATCAAAAACTAGTGAAAATGGTCATTTTTTTTCTTTTTCTAAGCTGTTCAGTCAAGTTTTGCATTTCCCTTGGTGCAGTTGGACAGAGTAGCAAATAGCCCAGTAATGCAGAAGCTCAATCCTGAGATGAGCTGAGATGTTTCCACATGAACAGAGGATGTGACAACTGCCTCTTCCTTTAGCAGTGGCTCTGTGTCTCCCTGTGCCACGTGCTCCATCAGCTTCCATGTTCCAAGACTTTCTGACAGGGCACTGAAGTTGCATCTGTTCCTTTCCAGCAGCTCCAGTTCCTCTGCCTGCCTCGTGGCTCGGATGAGGACCCCTAGGCAGCTTGGATTAGCAAAGGAGCAGACTGGATTTCATGTGTCTCAGACATCTTAAGATGCTTCACACTAGATTAAGTGATGGAGCAGGGAGAAGTTTGTCAGAGGGATCTAAACTGTAGGAATGTGGCTCCTCTTGGTGCTTTTCAGAGCTGCTCAGTACTGGTGGATGGATCCAGTGGATTCAGAGAAAGTCCTGAGTCAGGAGTACCCAACTAACAGATGTCTCTGATGTGCTGCTTTGGATATTTGATGCTGATATTTGTCTCTGATGTTTTAGTGCCTCCTTGTTTTAGGGAAGCTGAGAGCTCCCCTGTAATTCCCCTTCCTCCAACTGGAGGAATGTTTGTGCATAGAAACGGATTTTCGTGATTCTTCCTTGGACATTTCTCCCCGCAGAAGTCGAGCAAGGCCCTGCTGCACAGTGACCATCTGTTAGCTTCTTCTTTCTCACTGTGGAATTAAATATCTAATAACCTAAAATAGTGCTGAGCGCTTTACCTTCATGTGGGCAGCAAAACAAACCAGCAAAGCTCGGGCATGGAGTCAGAGACCTGATGGTCAATCCATGGGGTGTCTCAGGAAAGGACACTTTTCCTTTAGGAAATGTACTTCATTTAGGTTTTAAGTAGTCTGGGATATGATCCATTTGCTCACCAAGGTAATTGAAGTAGTTTTAATCATCTCTGTGCAGGCTAGTTGTGTTGCTCTCGTCAGTCTTCTAATGCCAGTGTTGTACTGAACTGTTTACTGATTGGTTTTTGTCCTAAAATCCACATTGCTCCAGCATCCTGACTGGAGTCAGGATCATTCAAGTCTCCAACTGGATTCTGGTACTGGATAAATCATTTAAGCATGCCATTTGTCCTCTGTACTTTGAAGTTTGTGAAATAAACTGAGTTATTTGTCCATGGTCAAACAGACCCAGCTCCCAGAATTGGTTCAACTTCCTGAGCAGTTACCAAAGGACAAAGCTTTGGCTTTGCTTGAACTGCACAGCCAGCAGCATCCCAGGACCCTCCTGCTTTGGTTTGGGATGAGTAAAAGCAACTGCTTTTCCCATGGCTTGCAGGAGTCCTGCAGCAGCTGGGTCCTGCTGGTGGCACACCAGGGTCTCAGGGGTTCCTCTGGTTGTGTCCTGTGGGCTCTGTTGGCCTGTGGATAACAGGAGTGGTCTTTTTGTTTGAGGCTGATTCTGGATTAGAAGAATCTAATCTTTTTAGGAGCTGCAGGAAGAAGTCCAGAGGAGGGCACAGAAATGTTTCAGGGGCTGGAGGCAGGCTGGAGAGCTGGGGGTGCTCACCTGGAGAAGAGAAGGCTCCAGGGAGAGCTCAGAGCCCTGCCAGGGCCTGGAGGGGCTCCAGGAGAGCTGGAGAGGATTTGGTACAAGGGCCTGGAGGGACAGAACAAGGGGAAATGGTTTCCCATTGCAGAGGGCATGGATAGATGGGATATTGGGAAGGGATTCTTGGCAGTGAGGGTGGTGAGGCCCTGGCACAGGCTGCCCCATCCCTGGAAGTGCAAAGCCAGGTTGGATGTGGCTTGGAACAACCTGGTGTAGTGGAAGGTGTCCCTGCCCATGAGGGGGTAAAATGAGATGGACTTTAAGGTCCCTTCCAACCCAAACTATTCTGGGATTTGTTGCCTTCCCTGTGAGCATCATCTTTGGAAGGTAAAATGGAGCACTGCGTGCTTCCGGGTTTCTTCTGGCTGCATGGAGCTGATGCTTGAGCTTCCACATAGTGACAGCTTCTGCCTGTGCACATCGTGTGCAGAAGTCATGCATTTTTGATTCAGTAGTAGTTTATTTTTATATCAGCTGGCAGATGAGTCACACCTTCCCCCAGCCCTGCCAGTCCCACCTTGGCACATGTGATTCACTCACACACGTGGCAGCCGTGCGTTGGGTTCTGTGCCACTGCAGGCTCTGGTCACCCCCAGCACGGGCAGGTAACGCTGGCAAGTGGATGTGGGACGTCACAAGCCTCCACAGTGGCGTGGTGGGGAGCAGGAGAGGAGCCTGATACGCTGGAGAATCCCAGGAAACCGAGATCTCTGCTGTCCCCAGCCCACGCAGTGGATGAGTCACAGTGGAGGAGCAGAACGCTCTGAGTCAGGGAGGGCTGTGTCAGTACATATAGAATATTGACAGTTTTTCTGTGGTTTTGTTTCAATTCCTGCTCTGTAAACAAGTTCACCTCTAATGAAGTATGGAGTCTGTGTGTTTACTTTGGGATCTCTCTGTGTTGCACAACTCGCCAGAGCGAAGCAGTCTGTTTACTTGTCAGGAGGTAGGACTGAGGGAAATGAAGGTGTTATAAATAACCAATCCTTTGCATAGTCTAGTCAATATTTGCATATATATTCCTCAGTGTGGCTGAGCTGTCTGCTATCCATGCTGCCTGT